AGATTTTAAGCATTGGAGAAAGAGGTCCATTTAATGATTGACCAAATTGGTCCATTCAGCACTCACACACGGTCCGTGTGTACTCGCCAGACGTCCGTGTGCAACATGCAGTGAAGAAACCGAGTTTTGTGTTTTGCCTCTATATTGGGATGGTTGGTGGTTCACTTTTGGGGGAATTTTCGATCCGCTTTTTTTTCACTTTTCTCTGGAGTTTGGAGCTTGAAGACCACCAAGAACATTGTGGAGAACATCATCTTTTCACTCTTAAATCTTGATACATGTTTGGTACAATCTATTTTCATTTTAGTTTCTTGAGTCTAGCCATGCTAGGCTAAACTTCTATTGGTTGACTTGAATGTAATTTCTTGAATGATTTGGTTATTTTGAAGAACTCCATGAACTTGTGTTGAGTATCTATGCTTATATTTTTTATGAAAACTTTCTTCATGTTTATATATCTCTAGTCATGAATATTGATATGTGAATGTTGTTTTTGTTGGTTGAATTCTTGACTATGTAATAGGTCTTCAATTTAACAAGCAACAATTAGTTTAAATGTTTGTTTTTATTTCATTTAGACTAAGAAAATATTTTATCCATAGTTGTAATGAAAGCAATAGATTACTCTTATGGATTTGGTGACTCTTAAAACCTAGATTTTTACAAAATTACATGCTTCATTAGTTTTGTGACTTTGATTTAGGAAATATGTTATGAGCTTCTTTAGTCATTTTAATACAAAAGAAGAGTTGAGTCAAGTTATGCTTATAAATTGATGTAGCCAAATTAGATTATAAACACAAGTATTGCACATTGGTATTCTCATAATTATTTAACCAAATGTTCAAGTAATGAAAGTCCAAAGTCAACCATCTTTATTTTATTGATTTTACATCAAACTTTGCTTTTGTTGAAGTGTGTTTTTAAATCTTAGTGTAATTCTAGTTTTCTTTTAAACATCTCCAAAGATCAAAATCCCCCAATTATATTTTATTTTAGTTTTTTGTAAAAAAAGATTTTCATAGAAATAACGAATTAAACCAATCTACATGGATTCGATATTTTTACCATTATACATTATTTTAATGTAAAAGATTTATGGTTATTTATTTTGTTGGCCTCAACAACCACCAAATTTTAGCACCATTGCGGGGGATTGGTTTGTATTTTAGTGTAAAAGATTTAGACATGTTTCCAAAAGAGGTGTTTGTCAACATTAACTTATTTTACAATTTAAAGTGTTTTTTTAGAATTTCCTAGACCATCACTTCATAATTTTAAAATATGTATTTTCATAAAACTATCATAATATTGTGTCAATAATAGCATAATCAATGTCGGTAGTAGTGTAATCATAAGAAATATCATATCTTCAAGAGGAAACTAATTGTTGAATTTTTACTATTCATTAAACGAATAATATTCATCATCTGTCTAAAAGACATTAAATTTTGTAAACAAAATTATTTGTACTCATTTTTGTAAATTTTTTTAATGAGCTGTCATTTATATAAATTTTGTGTAACAACGTCCATTTATATTAATTTATTTAAACACATTGTTTATGTATATTTTAAAACACAAACCATTTACTTTTTATGAAAAGAGTAGAAAATGATTGGTATTGTTGATTTTGGATAATGATGTTAATTTGACATATAAAACTTACAATGTTGAATAAAAATAAATGTTTCAAAATATATGTTAAAATATTATGTTTATCACACTTTTCACATTAATTATATATTAACTATCAATCATATAATTAAATAATTATTTATTTTATTATATATATTTTTTACCAACCTTGGTTTTCACGGGTTATAACTAATGTTTTAAAAAGCTCATCACGGCTCCGTCATGGCTCCAAAACTTGTACTTGCCGTCAAGCTTTGATAAAATGCCGCATTAAATCATATATGTATATAAAAATGAATAATAATAGAAAATACATGTAAAACTATTAATTATATACAAAATTTACCGCCTTAAGTCACGTTTTATAAATGACATGATTCGTCACAACTCAAAAAACAAGTCACATCTTACGTTATTTGAAACATTGGTTATAACCTAATGTCTAATAGCATATACTTTTGTCAAATATATCATATTTTAAGCTTTTGTATTATATATTTCTCATATTATATATATATATATATATATATATATATATATATATATATATATATATATATATATATATATATATATATATATGTATGTATGTATATATATATAACTTTTTGATAGATTTTAGTAAAAAAAAATACATATTTTTTGAAATTTATAAATTCTTTTGAATTTCATTTTTTTTTCTTGATATTCCGGAATAGTTTTTTTTTTCACAAAAATACTTATTACATGGCATAAAATGAGTCTAAAATAACCTATTTTAAATAAAAATTTTAATTTCCCACAATAGAAAACATGATCATTTCAAATATTTATTTATTTTTTTTGTAAGGTCCTTATGTAAAATGATATAATGATCAAATCTACCTCTTTAATAAATAAACCATTTTTGCCACGTGGCGTCTTACTCACCCAAAAAATTTCAAAGTGAACTTCAGAATTTGCCCTCTCCTTATCTCTACATTCTGTTTTCCTGCTACTTCTTGTCATTCAGGAACGATAAATCAGGGTGCTCCTCACCGAAAATCTCAAATAAATTAACATTATTAAGGTAATCCATTCCAAATTTATCGAAAATCAAATCACCCAAACTCTATTATTTACACTCAATTTTTACGTTTATAGAAACCTAATCCCAATCTATCTTTTTCATTTTTCAAAACCATGATCGCACATAATCAGGGACAGAAATGCAAGAAATCACACACATATCTTCTTTCTCTTTCTCTCGATCTCTCGAACACTTGGATAGGAAGTTCTTCATCTTCGTCTTACTCCGGAGCTTTTTATTCAAAGCCTAATTAACCGAAGCAGGTGCTTATGAGACATCGATCACCTTCAATTCAATTAACGTATGATTCTCATTTGATTTCTACCAACTTTCATCGATCATAAACTATTAGAAAATAGTGGATTTTTATATCCATGGTGTTTAATTCATTACACAGCACTCGGTTCAATTGGGATTGTTTCTTCCAAGAAGAGAAAAGTAAAATTTCTTGAGTCCATTAGTGGCATTGTCAAACCATCAATGTATTAATCTTTCTTCTGTTACGATTTTGATTCCTCATTTTGATTTTTCGTGGTGTTCATGATCTTAAAGTATGTCTTTTCTTTGGTTATATTCATTTTTTTTTCGAAAAACTTCAACTCAAACCACCTGATTTTTGTAGAGTTTTCACTTTTGTTGCTGAAATTTTAAGGAATTTTGATCAGGTTCGTAGCATATTGTTTTTTACTGAAAGTTGTTTCTGACTCGGTCCTCTTTTTTTTTTTTTACCATATAGGTCATGACATAGATCACGGTGTTTAGTCTTTTGTTAATGGAGTTGTTTGTTTGATGATGTCTGACAGGTGTCTAATGCACGTTCCAAGAGGATCACGATGTTATGGAAAAGGGGTTAAAGCATAAACTTACATCCTTTTGGTCTTATTTTTGGTTTGAGTTTTTGGATATTATGTTTTGGGATTTCCTATAATTGAGGATCAATGTTTGGGTTTCATGTCTCAATATGAGATAATGTTAAACCCATCATCATCGTTTGGTATAAATTTCCTTTATAATGTCATATAAAAGAGTTCTATTGAGTTTATGTTCGATCAAATGTAGCAAGTTTTACATGTAGGTCATCATTGCAGATGGAATGGCAGGGTATGCTATGTATCACTCAGACAAGTCAAAATTGCTATAGGTATGGATGTTTCTTTTTCAAGATTTGATCACACAACTTGATTTATTTGCAAATCAACTCCCATATAATCACGTTGTCTCATGATTATTTTGAAAAATATGAAGTAGGTGGGAGGGAAGACCCACCATCTAGCTTCCCGTTCAAAATGGGTTTATGTTAAATCTTTGTATTTAGAAGGAATCATCTAAGTGGGTGGGTGTGGGTGTGATTAGAATGAAACCTTTTTTCTTTCTAATTTTTCGCATTACAATATAATACTTTACAAGTGTTTTTGCCAAAATAAGTGCTACTGAGGTGTTACACTGTTGTTGATAATCATATGCAAGAATATCATAACATCATAGAAACAATATCATAACATCACAGAAAGAAGAAAAAGGGTTAGAAAGTTCTATCCCAATAAAATTTCATAATGAATGTGATCATATCTTATTTTCTCATTGCTGTGACTTTTCTTGAAATAATATTTAGCCTAATTACTTAGCAGGTTTGCCGGTGCATGTAGGATGCTTCTACACCAAAACTAAGTTATCAAGTATGAACTTGCTTTTCATTCTATAATTTATGTGTTGTTTTTTGTTTTGGAAACAAACATAAACTAAGGGAAGGTCAAAGTGTGATAATATAAAGTATACATCATTAGAACGTCTCAAAATTCAAGCCTAGAGCGAATACACAAATGATTATTTGAAGTTAGTAAACATGTAATTGTAATATTGAACTTTGTGTTTGTGGTGAATGAAATGTAAGGTGCTTACGTAGGTGATAAGAAAATTGCTATTTGTGTGTATTCAAGTAATGTTGAATATTATCTAATTAAAAAATGATGCAAATTGTATATTGTCTAAATAAAACTTATACTTTATTCGTTTAATAAAATTTTATAAACCTAGTAAATCTTTAATTCATTTTTTTTGTTAATCTCCTTATATATAATGATATAAATGATCCGATTTGATTCTGATATGATATATAATTATTTCAACTAATAATTGGAATATTTCAAAGTGATTAGTTGTGTACTAAATGATATAATGCTCAAGTAAATCTTTAATTCGTAGTATTTTTTTTGTTAATCTCCTTATATAAAATAAAAGGAAATAATATGATCCGATTTGATTCGGATATGATATATAATTCTTTCAACTAATAATTGGAATATTTCAAAGTGATTAGTTGTGTACTCTATAATACGCAGAAGCACGTGGAAGTGTGTCATCCGATTAGGATGAAGAAATTCACATGACATCTGCGTGTACTAAAATCCAATCCGAAATCTAACAAAATTTCAACAAATTCAACAACAATTACATATTTTCTCATTTTCTCAAACCCTCAAACTACAAATAAAATACATGTCGATCGGATCGGTGCCACCAAAGCAACGGAAACAACAAGAACACGTCAGGGTCCCACTCCCACCCCTCATACCACTTCCTCCACCTTCAGATCAACACTCATTCCAGTTCGTTTAAATTCTCTGCGTTTTGCCTACATTCGATCCTGTTCATTACAAGCATTGCTTTCACAACTTATAAACCGTGTTGATTTCTCGAAATTTTGTAACTGAAGATGCAAGCTCTAAGCGTCAGTGTCAATGGTTTCCATGTCCAAAATCGTAGCAGTAGGGTTTCGTCGGGTTCGTGTCAATTCATGAACAGAAAAAGCACTGTGCGCATGATTGGGAACGGGAGAGATTCTGATTTTGTCTCGCGACTCGGCTCCGGTCATATGCGACGCATGGAGCTTGGTAGCGCCGGCGCCGGAAGTGTGTTCCGCTCCTCTACAAAGTCCAGATCAGTCAAAGCTCAAGCTTCCGGTTTGTTTCATTGGATTATGCTCTCTATTTACACTTCATAATTCGATCTAATTTTGCGCACAACTATTCTGTGTATTGATGTTTGACCTAATGTCGTTTGATTCTTCTGTGATTCAATTAGTTCGGTTAACTTGTTCAATGTTGTTTGAGATTTTGAATGTTGTAATCAACGTGTGTATTCTGGCTATGATCTACTAGTGAAAACCATTAGACATTCAATTTAGAATCACCATTTTTTAACACAAATGCTCAATTTCAGATGGAGATATTACTCCTCTGAAGATCCAATCAAAGTCTTCTGGATCAGTTTTGCCTTATGTTGGTATTGCAAGTCTGGGAGCAATACTGTTCGGATATCATCTAGGGTACATCACATAATTCTACATATCATAAAACTCCTACTGTTCTATAATACAATTCTCATCCAATTCCCAATCTGTTTCTGCTTCAGTGTTGTCAATGGTGCACTTGAGTATCTTGCCAAGGATCTTGGTATTGCTGAAAACACAGTCCTACAAGGTAAATTCCACTGAAATTATGAGATAATACTTGATATTGATTTACATTTTGGTTCATTTCAATGGTTCCTCTGCTCCACATTGATACAGGATGGATTGTTAGCTCAACCCTCGCTGGTGCCACAGTTGGTTCATTTACAGGAGGATCTTTAGCTGACCAATTCGGAAGAACAAAAACTTTTCTACTTGATGCAATTCCACTTGCAGTTGGAGCATTTCTTTGGTTTGATATGACATTCTCCCATCTTTTAGCTATCACAATTGTGGTTATGCTTTTGTATCTATAAATCTTATTAATATAATCATCCGAATCTCCAGTGCCACAGCTACAAATGTACAAACTATGATCATAGGCCGCTTGCTTGCTGGCATTGGAATCGGCATATCATCTGCTATTGTCCCTCTCTACATATCCGAGGTAAAAACAAGATTCTACATTTTTATTCAAAAACTTTACATTTCTCACATTAAACATATATTTTTTTTAGATATCACCAACCGAAATCCGTGGCACACTTGGGTCTATCAACCAGCTATTCATTTGCATTGGAATCCTTGCAGCTTTGGTAGCTGGACTACCTTTAGCCGGAAACCCTCTATGGTGATTTAATGTTTCCCACTATTTTCAAAACACAGTACAATCTGTTATGTTCTGTTCTGTCTTGTCCTGTCAGTACTGATTCTATGTTTGTTTTCCAGGTGGAGAACAATGTTTGGTATTGCAGTGATCCCATCAGTTCTATTGGCAATTGGAATGGCATTTTCTCCAGAATCCCCTCGGTGGCTTGTTCAGCATGGGAAAATCTCGGATGCTGAAAAAGCAATAAAGACATTATACGGTGAGGGGAGGGTCACGGAAGTTATGGCGGACTTGAGTGCATCCAATCAAGGCTCAGAAGAACAGGATGCTGGTTGGTTTGACCTTTTCAGTTCCCGCTATTTCAAAGGTGAAATCAAATCACTACATATAAGTATATAATAGCAACATGTTATTTAATCATTATTATAAAACACTTAACGTTTTTATTTTGATTTTTTTTATGGTAGTTGTGAGTGTTGGTGCAGCACTTTTCTTGTTCCAACAATTGGCGGGAATAAATGCGGTCGTGTATTATTCCACTTCTGTCTTCCGTACAGCTGGCGTTGCATCTGACGTGGCAGCAAGTGCTGCTGTTGGAGCTGCGAATGTTTTTGGTTTGATTATTGTTTTTTGGTTTTTTAATTTGGAGATGGAAAATGGTAAAAATTTTTGTTTTTTTTCTAATGCATGGAAGTTGGTTTTATTTCAAGGCACAATGATTGCGTCTTCTTTGATGGATAAACAAGGGAGGAAAAGCCTTCTCATCACAAGCTTTTCTGGAATGGTATGCACATGATTTAAATTGGTAAAAAAAAAAAAGATGGTGAATTTTGTTAAATATCATTTTTGTAATTATATAAAGTTCAAAAATATTTGATACACATGTTTTGTCTGCAAGGCTATTTCCATGATGCTGCTCTCATTATCCTTCACTTGGAAAGTTTTAGCACCATATTCCGGACCACTTGCTGTCATCGGAACTATTTTGTAAGTCAAAATTTTTTAAAAAAAATTATATAAACTTATTCATATAATTAATTACAACATATTAATTATTACTTCTTCAGGTATGTGCTATCATTTTCACTTGGTGCTGGACCTGTTCCTGCTCTACTATTACCAGAGATATTTGCCTCCAGAATTAGAGCAAAAGCAGTTGCCTTATCACTTGGAATGCATTGGGTAAGTTTATTTTATGTTCAATCTTTTTTTTAAAAAATGATTGTTTTTACTAACAAATGGTGATTTTTTTTTAACGAGCAGATATCAAACTTTGTAATCGGGTTGTATTTCTTGAGTGTGGTGACTAAATTTGGGATAAGCAAAGTGTACCTGGGATTTGCATCCATCTGTGTTCTTGCAGTTATGTACATAGCTGCCAATGTTGTTGAAACAAAGGGGAGATCTTTGGAAGATATTGAACGTGAACTTAGCCCAGCTATATAATATATATAGATATAGATATAGCTCACTATATCTATATGCACATTTTTAGGTTTCATCTTCATATTAATAATAAGCTAGTTTCTGCAATCTGCCCACATTGTAAATTTTCTGATACTATGGGCACTTTTTTGACACATTTGACTTTTGGGGTTTCAGTGTTTTTCGATATATCAAAGTAAAAATTTGATGAATGTTGTGATATTTGCTTCTAGATTGTAAGGGTAAAACGTTCATATAGATATGTAGGGCAGTTTTTTCCACTTAATACATTCAGAAGAGAAAACACATTACACAATGATCCTAAGAATCTTCATCTCTGGACTACATGTTGGATTTCCTTTCCCATCTTTCTTTGGTGTCAAGCCTACAAATTAATATGCAAAATTAGTAAAACTAAAAAGCATTTATGAGGTAAAATTAAAAAAAAAATGATAATAGCTTACCCCCAGTGTAACTTATGTGGTTTCTTTGATGGTATTTGTGGTTTTGACAATGAAGAAACATCTAATGTGGTAGAAGTAGAACTGCTTGTATCTTCAGCTGTTATACATGGGATTTTGGTTGCTGCAAATTCATCAACATGGCTATCCTTCTCTTCTAATCTGTTTGGCCTAGATGCCTTCCCTGAAGAACCATGATTCATCACCTTACAGTGAAAAATAAATAAATAAAACATAGTTTTAATGGAAGCTGTCGAACGAACCTTGTGATTTCTTTTTGACTTTGGATTTTTCTTTTATCTGTAATCGCCTCTTGTGCAGTTCCTATCGATGAAAGGATCACAATCAAACAGATCATAGTCAGTTCCAGATCCTATTATTATGAATTGGAATTCCAAATTAGATTCCGACATGGTGATGCAAATAGAACTTTGGATTCCTAAATCGAAGAGCATAGAAGAAGCAAATCAGATATCAGAATAAATCCGATGTAGCTACTGTTTGTAGATAATCGGAGGAATCGACGAATCATCACAGACGCAATATCATAATTTTGATAAAAAAAAAAAAAAAAAGTTGAATCATGGAACCTGGAACTTGGAAAGGCGAGCTTGGGCAACAGCAGATGAGGGCTTGAATTTAGGGTTCAGACACGCAGCTGATGCGATTGCTGCTTCTCTCCTTTCGTCTTCCTCCATTCTCGTTTCAAGGGTGTTTTGTATGAGTTTTCTACCGAAACACCGTTAGTAAACAACAGGGGCATTTTAATGGCACACCTAAAAACTTATAACAACCCAATTAATATATAAATTTACATATACCTCCCCTGAGATATATCAAACTTTTAACTTAAGCCTTTATTTTTAATATTTATTATTAAACCTTACAATTAATATATAAATTATTTTTTGCAATCTTAAAAGTTATGCATTTTCCAACAACTTTTATTTAATTAAACTTATATTATAATAAAATATTTTGTATTATTTAATAAAGTTTTAATTACAATGTTCTTTAATATTTGTACTTTTAAATTCATACTTATTCACCAAAAATGTAACGATAAACAAACCGTATATCCAAACGTTCTAAATTGTTGCATTCTAAATAGTTTGACAAAAATTCATTAATTTTTGTTGGAACAGTGTAATTTTATTTAAAAATTAATGAAGAGTTAAAAAGGCTCGTAACAATAAAATAGAAGATAAAATTGAGTTTTAAAACCAATAAACCAAAACACAACTTAGTTTTCCTACATCTATTAGAAATTTATTAAAACGATCTATCAACCATCTCATCAAAACTGATGAATTTCCTAGGTATAACCGTTCCAAAAATAATAAAAATTTTAAAATTTCAAATACAAAAAAAAAAAAAAAAGTCATCAAAACAGTCTATAACACATTTCGTTGCCTTCCAATCAACCTAATGAATCCAACCACATAACAACTAGTGTTTGAATAGTATGCGAGTCAGGAAAGAATCTAAATATGATATATATTTTAAATTTACAGTACAACTTCTAGCTTTACAAAACAAAAGTTTTCAGTGCGGTGTGGCCTCAATCCGATATATATTTTTAATTTTTGTATTTTTTTAATTTAATGTTATTACTAATATGTAACTATAAGAGGAAACAAACCCAACATATATCCAAATGTTTATAAATATTGATAAAAACTCATTTATTTTCTATTTATTTAATAAATAAACAAATCTAAATATGATAATTTGTTCATTTAAATAAGCAAAAGAAAACGATATATATATATATATATATATATATATATATATATATATATATATATATATATATATATATATATTCAAAATTATTATTTTTTATAATTACCATATCCGAATACTATTGAAATATTTCTTCTATATACAGAAACTTCGCTATGCATTATAATAATATAATTATGTTTGTCGATTGTTTCTCATATCATATACAATTTGTGTGGGGGTATATAATAATAATAATAATAATAAGAATAATAAAGATGCAAGAGTAATTTTTTAGATAAAAATATTAAGAATCGAATATAAATGTAAATAAGAGGACTAAATATGTAATATTTCAAAAAGTGTTTACCGTTAGTTATATAGTTAAGGACTTAAGGTGCATCTAAAATAGAAATTTAGTTATTAATAAGGAAAATGAAAATTGAAAAAAATCAATCATGTCATTATGTTAAATAGTCATGTAGGCGGTTTTGACTTTATGAATGTGGTTTTAGGTGCCAATAACAACTAAGAAACAATATCTTTTATATATATATATATATATATATATATATATATATATATATATATATATATATATATATATATATATATATATATATATATATATATATATAATGGTTAACTAAAACTTTGGACTTTATAACCATGTTTTTTTATATATTTGACAATTAATCTTGTTTGACCTGTTCAAAATAGGATAATATGACTGGTAATTATAGATAATATTACATTATTATGAACAAACCAAACTTCCTTACCTGTTTTAGTAATATCGGGTTTTTTTATGTTAAATGCGAGTAACCATAAGATCCAATGATGTGACAAAGAATTAGGTTATTGAGTCTTGGTGTTAGGTCCGGAGTAGGTGTCATAAGCGGGTTCCTGACTATTATAAATCTAGTTAATGGAGAAAAAAATGTTAGAACTGTATTAGGGATTGTGCCTGAAAGCATGCTCCGACAGTCAAGTTAGATCGATTTGTATGGGAGATGGTTTCTCCTTGATGGAGAGCCATTTTTATGGGAAGAGTGTATGTATACAGTGGAGGCTCATGTTTGAGAATGAGAGATCCTCCTCATGGAGGATGAGGTGTTCTATTTATAGATCTAGTTAATGGACAATTAGGTTATGCTTGGGCCGGACCAGTTCAGGTTCAACCAGTTGTGGGCTAGGTTTTGCTGCCAAACCTCTAAAGTGCATACAACCTAGCCATTTAAGTGCATACAACCTAACTCCTAACTAGTTGATCCTAAAATGGGATGGCCCAATCCATGACCATCTCCTCATACACATCGATCTAACTTGATCGTTGAATCTAGCCTATTCCCTGGTTATAGTCCCTAAGGCAGTCTAATGGTTTTGCTATCTGATGGCAGCTGGGAAGCAAGTTCAGAGCCTACTAACGATGCTTACTTCATATCTATAATCCATATCTTACACCAACACCAAATGGCACAATTTTATGTCACATTAGTGTGTCTTATGACTACTGCACTTAGTAATGAATTTGGAAAGACGAGCTTGGGCAACAACAGAGGTGGGCTTAAATTTAGGTTTCAGACACGCAACTAATGTGATTGCTACTTCTCTCCTCTCGTCTTCCTCCATTCTCGTTTCAAGGTTTAATCTTAATCTAATAAGCATGTTTTGTATGAGTTTTCTACCGAAACATGATTAGTACCAACAACATCCCCGATGTTAGCAAATTACTGAAAATGTCATTTTGGGGTAAAGTTGCACATTTGGTCCCTATCTTTTGTTTTGTACTCGGACTGCAACATCCTGAAAATTTCAACAAATTTAAATTTTTCAAAACAATCCTTTTGATAATAAAATGTTTACAATATAACGCTCTCAAACATTATTTGAAAATCAGAGTTTTCCAAGATCCAATTTGTTGTAAAACCAAGGATGTGTACAATCAGACCTTCGCCTTGCCATTTTGATCATCTGAAGAACCTGAAACCATAAACAAAACTATAAGTACAAAGCTTAGTGAGTTTCCCCCAAAATATCACCACACAACAGATAACATAGACCAACAAACAAACAACATGCATATAGAGTCTGTAGTATGACCGAACCGCCCCCACCGAGCATGCAATCTATTTGGTCCAATCTCAGAACTTTCATCATGTCTGGTCCGCTCTCCCGGGCCTTCAGCCTATCTGGACCGTTCTTCGGGCCTTCGGCCTAACTAATGTGCCCTAATGGTCCTGCAGTCTATTCGGTCCACCCTTGGGTCTATTGGTCTTCAGCACAAAGCAAGACCGCCTCAACCCAACCAAACACAATATGTCGACATATAAACAATCATGATCAAGCAGACACATAATACACGTAACAACAATCATACAAATCACTACTACCTACTAATCCTTTCACCACATATAGTCCCGCTACCATCTAACCCCCATAGAATGTGTAACCATAACTAACCATAGGTGAGATAGCCACCCGAACAGATAGTCCTACTCTAGAGCCACAACCAAAGAAGGAACAGGCAAGAGAGCCTAGACCAAGAGTTCTTAGGCTATCCTATGTAACCACTGACAGTCCCTAAGGGCACTCCATAGATGATAACCAGCAAGCACATATAACATACAGTTTTATAGGTTATTACCACAAAGCAACAAACATAGATCTAACTGATCACTACAGCATATCAGGATACTATTACCTTGTCTGGAAATAGTTGATGTGTGATGAAATAAAATGATGAGAGATAGGTAATGATAATTAGGTGAGGATAGATAGGTGATGTAGGATAAAAGATACGAGATGTAGTCATCTACCAGAGTATAGATGGCGACCACAAACCATTATAGACAACCCCGTGGAAACACCAACAAGCTCATAACCTGTAGGTGATGAATTACGAATTCAGACGATGTTGTAACTACGTATTCATGCGATGATACTCTGACCCCTTACTACGAATTACGAGTTCAGGCGATGTTGTAACTACGTATTCATGCGATGATACCCTAACCCTTGTTGGGAACGTATTGAGGGAGTAATCCCTAAATCAATACTGTCTACGCGATGTAGGCGATGATACTTAGGGAGAGTCCTTAGGAACAAACATATAAGAAAAGGTGATGTTGAGAGATGAGAGGTAAATATGATGTAGGAGATGACCCTTAGGATAAATCCTTAGGGAAGGTACTTAGGAATAAAGAAGATAATGGGGATGGGTAATTGGGTTAATTGTTTGATGATTAAACATAATAATTATATTATTATGGGTTAAAAGCCCTATGTACTCACCAGGTTTCCCAACCTGACCCACTCAGTTTACTTATATCACAGGTGACGATGTGAAGTTACATTACACTGAGAGATTAAGGAGATATAGATCACTAGTGTAAATGAATGTAAGTTCTGTTTATGCTTATGTTTTTGTATTGACGATGACATCCCAATGTTTTAAAATGAATAAAAATACATTTCTTCGGAAATGCTTTGATAATGAAATTTTCATGTTTTTCTGGGAACAAATTCCGCAACGTTTTTATTGAAAGAGATACTCTGATTTTTATAAGGGTTTAGGTCATTTTTGGTCACATAACTTTTGGTTTTGTACTCATTTGGTCCCTTAACTCTTTTTAAGTTTTAAAAGGTCATCAAACTTTTAACTTTATGCTCATTTAGTCACTTAACTTTTGGTTTGGTCGCTTAACTTTTAGATTTGTGCTCATTTAGTCACCTAACTTTATGCTCATTTAGTCAGTTAACTTTTGGTTTGGTCGCTTAACTTTATGCTCATTTAGTCACTAAACTTTTGAAAAAATTTAAAAAATAGTGACTAAATGAGCATAATTTTAAAATTTAGGTGACTAAATGTGACCAACCTAAAAGTTAAGTGACCAAATGAGCACAAAGCCAAAAGTTTGATGACCTTTTAAAACTTAAAAAGAGTTAAGTGACCAAATGAGCAAAAAACCAAAAGTTAAATGATCAAAAATGACTTAAACCCTTTTTATAAAGCATAAAC